AAAAAAAAAAAAAAAAAAAAGAAAGTGTGTATATCTGAATGTCCAGAAGAAATGAAGAGGAACCTTAGAAATTCGGAGGGCTCCCAGGCTTGCCACTGAGGAAGCAGGAGCAAGCCTGATAGAATAGAGATACTTAGAAATCTCAGGTTGCCAGCCTACAGGGTAGAGAAGTCCCCCAGCTACACATACTGGCATCCTGGTCAGGCTTTGGGTCTGCTGGGTGGGTGCTGACGCACATCTGAGGACCATGGACACTCAACTAGGCAGGACATCAGAAGTCCAAGGGCCAGAGGCCCAATACTCCAGGCTTGTGTTTTTTGCCTTCAAACATAGGTTTCAGTGAAATGCTTTTTCACCAGTCCAGGAGCAGCCTACCTTGCAGGACTATAATGAATTCAATGAGCTTGGCCTAATGACAAATTTCAAAAGGAAATTAGGAGCTAAGCACTTCTGACAGGTGTAGATTTCTGTCTATCCGTGCCTTTGTTCTTCCTCTCTAAAATGGAGATACCCATAATTCCTACTATATCACATAAATGAAATTGAAACCATTACACTAACAGACTGTAGAGATGCTTTGACACTCAAGTAATGAACGTAGCATATAGGTAGTTCACGTAAAATGAAGTCATCCACTTTTAAAACATGGTGCAAAAGAAACATTGCCAGCTTTTGTATTCTTGACCTGCAATTCTCCGTAAAACAAAAAAATGACTCGTTTGAACATCACAGTCCTTTCAAATCTTGGCAAATGTCAAAAAGGAGTAGCCAGATTTTGGCTGAGAAAAAGTCACCTTCAATTCTGCATTGCTCTTAGGTGCACATATTCACACAAGCATCGTATTCACAAATAACAATCACACAGGATTGTACAATGCTTAGTAGGCTATAGCTTTGATGAGGGGAGGTCTGCAGGTACCATCAGGATATAAACAACAGTATTATCCAACAGGGTAGAACATGCAAGCAAATGTGCATTGATCTTTTATATGACCAAGGCCTGATCCCACTAATTAAATTCCTGGTTGGAGCGTAGATTTGTCATTGTCTTACATAGTACCAAATTTTGCCCACATGTTAGCCACCATTAACCAAAGAAAAACCGATCACTCCATCATCATATAAATTGATCTCTATGACTTGGCAAGGAGTCACAGCAGTGATGATACTGACCCTGTAAGAATATTAGGTCTAATGTCCAGAGGCATTAACCTTTTTTTAACCAAAAGGTAAATCTCTTGATGAAAGGCAACGTTTTATTACTATCCACCTGCAACAAATAGCTCATTTCTTACTACTATAACTCAATTGCTGGTACTGAAGAGCAAAATTTGCACTTTACTTTCAGATGCTCTTGAGTAATTCACATTGAGGTCGTGGATCAAAACTAATTACCACAGTTGTAATGATCAGGCCCTGCAAGGTGTTACGCCCAGCACAAAGACCTGAATTCTGTAGAGAGAGATGGAGGTTGCGAACAAATTACGTTTTGTTAAGAATACTGACCAAGTTGCAGGAAGAAGATGGCCAAGCGGAAAAGATCTTCTTGACTTCTGGGACAGTATTGATCCTTACAGTTGCTCCACTAATAATTTCTTCTGAGAGAACCCACATAAACCTGAGTAGTCACTTTTATTGTCTCAGTTCAGAAACAGCTGAAAATCCCAGAGCTGGTACTTTTTCATGGCATTTGAATTAATGACTAGCAAGATTATGTTGCCAAAGGCCCATCAAGTGCAATCTCACCCAAATCACCAGCTTTTGCTTCATCCTTGGCACAGTCTCTAATGTTTTGAAAGCATCTTGCCTTTAATCAAACACATTAAGCCAGCATTATGTCAGGTCTTTCCTTGCATGTTTCTCTGCTCTGTAAGATCAAGTTCTGCTTATAAGCATGTGTCCCTGCATTGCCTCATGACAGATTGTTTTCTGCGGCATTCTGCATACCCTGCCTTGCTTCTACCTGCTCAGCTTCTACCACAACACAATCCCTAAGTTATGGTTTTCTCTCAATAGAGTTTATTTTTCTTTATTAAAAGCAAATGTCATTGGGGCTTTTGAAATCTGTAGACCTACATGGTAGGCCACAGGAAACAGTACTGCTTTCCAAATTTAATATTCTTTAACGTGTTTGTTAACAGAACATCTGCTCCATGCTTTTTTTTACAAGAATCTATCAGATCTCCCCTTATGTATTTCTTGCCAACCTCAGCTACCAGCTTTTGCATTTACAAAACAGAACATGCAGTAACTAATGATGCAGCTTAAAGTTCCAGAGCTAAAATCTTGCATAAACCTTTTTTTATTATTATTTTGAAAAGCGCCTCTGCTCTTTCAAAAACTTTTAATCATGGTGATCTCATGCACTGAGCTGCTGTTCAAACAAAAGCCACTCATTTATTGTAAAGCTACAAAGCAGAGAAGAAAACCAACAAACTAAGGGATAGATAGTTAGTACATAGCTGTCCTCTTTGTGCCAATGCTGCCAGCAAAGCTTAGTGCAAATCAGATGCCTCGTTGGAGTGAATTTTTGGCAGCCTAAAAAGAAACAGCAGCAACTCAAGTGTGTTTCTGAACCTCGCTTAAAAAAACAGTCTCATGTACTGTAAAGTCTCACTAGCTATTTTTAACCCTTGGGCTCCCATGTTTTGTTTTCATTTTATCAAAGCAAAGGAATGTGACAGAGATGTCTATTAGACTCCTTCACTCAGCCTGAGGGTTAATTATTCAGTTTGGTAGACATTTGAAAATATTATGTTACCTCTAATGGCAAAATTGATAGAAGCTTGTTTCAGGCTCACTTTATGTCATTATGGCAGATTAAATTAACTAATCATAAATTATGCTGGTTAAAGTACATCTACTACTCACTAAACCTGCAGAAGGAAGGGAAGGGGGTTTTTTTCTGAATAAGAAGTAAATGCCATTTGGCAAATTAAAGACTTTTTCAAACCAATAAATATACACTCAAACAAAAGCTGGAAGCATCCCAAAGATGGCAGCGACAGATTCTAAAGACCATAGCAGCAAGTCTTAACACTGAACCTGTACCTGCTGCGGAAAGGTATCAATACTGCAGTGCTGCAGGGCTATATCCACAGATCAAAGAGTAAAGACTGTCCATTAAAGAATAAAGAAGGTCAATTAAAGAAGAATAGGCATGCTGACATTATTGTTAGATGTCTTTGAATACCAGTATGATGCAAGATGTGCACGTTTGCAGCCCCTACTTCCAATGTCACCTTTCGTTTTCTGTTCAAAGCGGCTGAATGCACCATTTCTATGTGCTTCCAAGGAAAGGGTGGATTTACACGTCACTAATTTAGAAGCCAATACAGATTTTTACAGTGATCCTCCTGTTACCTTCCACATTGCATTGTGCAAACATGACAACTGATACCATGTCAGTATGATTGAATTCCTAAACAGGGCATGGACAACTGAAGTTAGAGATGTGTGGGCAGAAGGTACGGAAAACACAGGCATTCAAGACCTCTTCTGTGCAGTATAAACGACTGAGTCTCTATCTGTAAGCTCATGGTAGACCAGCTTAATCAATCACATTAAATGAGGATTTTCTTTCTTTTGGAAGAAAAATAAGGAAGAAAAGCAATATTATATTGTATTACATGTGGATTCACATATGCAGTTGTCACTTAAAAAACAGGGTGTTGCTTTGGGATGACCGGGTAGCTTGCTTCTCTCTAGGAAACAAGCTTTGCTGAACACCTCCAAAAAGAGTCCAAGACAATCAGGCTCCCAGTGACCGTGTTTGGAAGGAGGGTAAACGAAGGACTGACAAATCTATTGTGTTCCTTCAGGTGTCACAGAGCCTCATGATTCTTTGGGGGCATCTGAATAGCTCAAACTTAGTTAGAGTGTAAACCCTCAATATATTATAAAGTCTTCTGGAAAGGTGCAGCACTCTGTTTGCTTGTTCCCAGGTTCCTATTCCATCAGTCCCCTGAGGCAGGTGATGCTCTTAGTACAATCTAAGTCCTTTCCGTTCATGTTTCTCTCCCATTTCATGTTTTCTGAACAACATTCCCCAAACCGTCTTCTATACATGATACACACAGCTACAAAAAAGTCAGCAGGA